GCATCGACTCGAACAATCTTATAATAAAGTTTACAGATCAAAATACATACCGCCAAGCTAATTCAGTCACGAGTTCTGTTAGGGCAGCTGGCAGGATTTGACAATTATAGGCAATCGAGACACCAAGAATTTTAGCAAGGTTCTCAGATAAAGTAGGAACATAGAAATTACATTGGGAGGATGTAAGCATACCTCGTCCTCATACGGATTGCAGTTCTCTTTGAACCACAATCTTAGGAACTCCTATTGGATTAAAAGAAACAGAACATGTGAGTAAACAAAGTACTACAAACCAATGCAACCTGACTGAGGGCAAGAAAAGGCAAAATCACTAACCTTATCAACATTTTCAGGCTCCATGCCTTTTTGAAAGCGCTCTTCATATGAACTTGCAAGCCAGTATCTGCTGGAATCGGGTGTATGAATCTATTCACAATGTGTACAAGTAGATGATGATTATAATCAATGATTTTGGCAGCTGTGCAGATATGCGTTCAACTGTGCATTCGAAGAAAGACATACAAGGAAAAAAAAAGATAAGATAACATACCTCATCAATCAATAAGATTGAGCCATCACTACTTCTTCTAAACTCATACTTTGTGTCCACCAGTATCAGTCCATGATCCTTGGCAACCCGCTGAAGCAAGCATGATATAATCAAAATCTATTAGACCCTTCCAACAAAGCATAATATTTGCATGCTGAAGCCAGTAAAATATATTAAAAACTGATTTCTTGTGGTCTGCAATTTAGAGATTATGAAAATCACTATAGTCAATGACTTTAGACGGAGGAGTTGTAACTAACCTGCCCAAACTCAAACAAGCTCAAAGCTTTCATACTTGCTTCATCAAAATCAGCTTGAGTCATGAATCCACGTTCAACTATCTGCAAGAATTATCAGGAGAATTAGAAGAAAAACAGACTATACAATTGTAGCTTAAATATTCTTGTCTTACAGCAAAGCAGATCACAAAAACAGCAAACTAATGACTCGAAAGACTTATTTTTTATGGTTTCCAT